CCTATGATGCTGCTTGGCCTGCTGTGTTCATCCAGCCCTGCACCTTGCTGTCTTAAAACATTAGGGAACAGATAGAGAAGTCAACAATACACATGTGTGACGGCCTAGTTGTATTGTTGCTTGACTAATAATACAGACTCTGGGAATCGTTCTGGTGACCTGGATTCAAATCCTGCCCTAGTAAATGGCAGAGTTTTCGTTCAATGGAACTACAGTGATCAATTGCAGAGAGCATCAAACTGCAATAATTAACTGCAATATTTAATCTCACCAAACTACAATAAATAATGGTGCTAAGCTGTAATGGCCAATTTGTTCCTGTTCTCCATCCTCTGGTTCCTTCTCCTCTATCAAGCATGAAACTTCATTCTCTTCTCCATATTCTACCACATGGTAGTTTCTCAGAATAATTTCACGTTAGGTGTTATGTTGCCAGGGTTGGAGGGTTTGACCAAAGGGAGAGGCTGAATAGATTGGGGCTATTTTCCTTAGAGCGTTGGAGGCTGAGTGGTGACCTTGTAGAGGTTTATAAAATCATGACGGGCATGGATAGGGTAAATAGACAAGATAACTTCCCCAAGATGGGGGTTTCAAAACTAGATGGCATAGGTTTAAGGTGAGAGGGGAAAGATTTAAAAGGGACCTAAGGTGTAACTTTTTCAAGCAGAAGGTGGTGCATGTATGGAATGAGCTGCCAAAGGAAATGGTGGAGGCTGGTACAATTACAGCATTTAAAAGGCATCTAGATGGGTATATGAATGGGAAGGGTTTAGAGGGATATGTGCTAAGTGCTGGCAAAATGGGACTAGATTTATTTAGGATATCTGGCATGGATGAGTGAGACCGAAGGGTCTGTTTCCATGCTGTATATCTCTATGACTAGGTAGTTATTGAACAAATCCAGCTTACTTTACAATGTTGAGAGGCCTTTGGAAAGGTGTGAGTTGCTGAATTCTTCCGTTGGCCTCTAAGGGTGGTTTTGCTTCACTAATCTATTATGCTGTTCTGTCTACAGGGCCAGCCAGGCTTGCGTGGTGAGAGTGGCTACAGAGGTTTACCAGTAAGTTCATCTCAAGTTATAATCACTAACCAATACAAGCAAGGTCTGGTACACTATTCCCCAGTTGTGGTCAGCAAAACCCAGCATCCAGAGATGAAGAAGAGGATTGAGCTGAGGATAGGTCCTTGGGGAACTCTGCAAGTATCAGTTCCTAACTGTGAAAAGGGGCCATTACAGCAGGTACTTGGGCTACAATCAGTGAGTGAAACCAAATAGGTGCAGTTGCCAGCGGCTAAATGATGGAGGAGAAACATTGGAGAAAGATACCATGGTAAACTATGTCAGAGACTGTAGAGTGAATGAGGAGAGGTAAAGCACCAGGCTACCAACTACCAATTCATCATTAATGACTTTAAACCGCGGTCTAACAATCAACGATCAGGTACCACAGCATCAGCCCAGGATTGGCACTGCACCATAGAACATAGAACAGTACAGGCCCTTCAACCCACGATGTTGTGCCGTGCCATTATCCTACTCAAAGATCAAAACTAACCTGCATACCCCTCATTTTATATCATCACCAGTGTAAGCTCATGATTTGATTTAGTTTGATTTGATTTATTGTTGTCACATGTACCTAAGTACAGTGAAAAATTTTGTTTTGTGAGCAGTACAGGCAGATCATAGCAAACAACGATATATAGATCGTAGGGTGTTTAGACAGAGCAAGGCACACAAAGTTTCTGTCTACTTAACACCTGTTAGCCTGAAAGGTAAACAAGGGAAAACTGATCCCATCAGCTTGAACCATGGAAGAGACTGAAATGTGAGGTTTAATAAACAATACATCTAACTAATTGACATTTCTGGGTTCACAATGAGAGTGTGAGCGTGTGTGTGTGTGGGACGGGTGGGTATGTATGTCAGATGCTAACTGGTCCTGCAGAAACATCTTACTGTTAATATTAACATGCAGAATGTTCTGTAGGCCTTGCTTTTACAGATGCCTTTTGTACATGCTCATTGTTTCAAGCCCTCTGCAAATCAGTTTAATTCACCGAAATCTATCTGGGACACTGTAAAGCTGTAAGCCAATAATAAATTGTCATGTCATCACAGTGAGGTCCTAGTGCCAGTACCTCCCACCTGTCGATAGTCGATAGGACAGTGAAACTATCTAAAGCTTTAAGCTTGATGTAATTGATTCTCATCTTTCATATATAATGGTGTATCACTCAGAAATCCTTTTGGGGACTTCAGTGAAGGCAGGATCCTAGTAGCTTCTTTGAGGTGAGACAATCCCAGACTTGGAAGCCAATTGCAGAGTGAGATATGGCTTCTCCCACTCACTGCCACAGAAGAGGCACAGCCACTTGCTGCTCAATCTTCTGTACTATCCACGGCTGATCAATTCCCTGACATTGCCAGCCCCTTGTTGGTCACCTCCCTCCCAACACTCCTTTAGAAAGACTTGCTTTCCTCAACTAGCTCCCATCCACCCAAAACCAATTCCTGGGCACTCCCACTACCTCCCCCTCCGTAGCAGTCTTTCACAAGCTAGCAATATCCATCAACCTTATATCAGTTGATCAGCCAGCTATAAACATTCAGTCCCATTCCTGTGGTATAAATAGATATACAAACTTAACAAATAGCAGAGGACTGGGCCATTCAACCCATCAAACCTGTTCCACCATTTAATATGATTGTGGGCATCATCTCCATTTCCCTATATCTCTCAATTCTCTGAGAGATTACAAATCTGTTGATCCCAACCTTGAATATATTCAGGCCTGGAGTATTCACATCTCCCTGAGATAGAGAATTCCAAAGCTTCACAACACTCTGAAGAAATTTCTCCTCCCCTCTATCCAAGATGAATGGCCCTTTACCCTGAGAATATTCATTTCCACCGACCCCGTTCTGGATTCCCTAGCCAACGGGAATGTGTCCTGTCAGCGTCTACACTGTCAAGACTCATGAGAGTCCTGTATGATTTGATTTGATTTATTATTGTCACATGTACCTAGGTACAGTGAAAAGTTTTGTTTTGTGTGCAGTACAGGCAGATCATACCTGTACAAAGTGCATAAGGCTAATAGAACAGAGTGAGGAATACAATGTTATGGGTGCACAGAGAGCGAGATCATTAAAATTTATGAGGTCTATTCAGAAATCTAACAACAACAGGGAAGAAGCTGTTCTTGAATCTGTTCATACATGTATGCAAACGTTCATATCTTCTGCCCGACAAAGAGGTGGAAGAGAGTATAACCGGAGTGGGAGGGGTCTTTGATTATGTTGGCTACATTCCCGAGGCAGCGAGAAGTACAGATGGAGTCAACGGATGGAAGGCTGGTTTGTGTGATAGACTGGGCTGTGTTCACAGCTCCCTATAGTTTCTCGCAGTTTTGGAAGTTGCTAAACCACACTGTCATGTAGCCAGGTGGAATGCTTTTTATAGTGCATTTACAAAAATTGGTAAGAGTCCTTGTGGATATGCTGAATGTCCTTAGCCTCCTTAGGAAGTAGAGACGTTGTGTGCTTTCTTGTATGTTATATGTTTCAATGAGATCACCTGATTCTTCTAAATCCCAGAAAATATTGGCTCAATTTATTTATCTTCTTATCACAGAATATCCTCTCATCCCAGGAATCAGTTTAGTGAACATCGCCTCTTGTGTTGGCAGGGTACCATCTGAAATAAGAATCTTGCCTACTAACAGTCTCGCAGTTTCTCAGCCCCCTTCTTCTCATAAAGGAGAAACTTTCCAATCAGATAGTCTAGCTGAAAGGATATTATGCAAAGAAAGCAAAATAAAAAGGTTTGTTTTAGACATTCTAGTAAACAGAAGGAGAGGTTTCTGTGAGGAGAAGTATGGAAGGCAGTGCAGAGGGAAATTTGGAATTCTGGAACAAACTCTCTGCTGGTTGGAGTCATATTTGGCACATAGGAAGATGGTTGTAGTTGTTGGAGGTCAGACATCTCAGTTCCAGGACATCTCTGCAGGAGTTCCTCAGGGTGGTGTCCCAGGCCCAACCATCTTCAGGGGCTTCATCAATGACCTTCCCTCTATCATAAGGTCAGAAGTGGGGATGTTCGCTGATGACTGCACAATGTTCAGCACTATTCATGACTGCTCAGATAGAGAAGCAGTCCATGTTAAAATGCAACAAGCTCTGGACAACATCCAGGCTTGGGCTAAAAAACTGGAAAGTAACATTTGCATCACACAAATGGCCTCCAACAAGAGAGAATCTAACAACTGCCCCTTGACATTACCAAGTGGTAATCACCATTACACATTGGCTACAAGAGCAGGTCAGAGGCTAGGAATACTGTGGCAAGTAACTCATCTCCTGACTCCCCAAAAGCCTGCCCACCATCTGCAAGGCACAAATCAGGAGTGTGATGGAATACTCCCCACTTGCCTGGATGGCTGCAGCTCCAACAACACTCAAGAAGCTTGACACCAACTAGGACAAAGCAGCCCGCTTGATTGTCATCACATCCACAAGCATTCATTCCCTCCACCACCGATGCTCAGTAGCAGCAGTGTTTACTATGTACAAGATGCACTGCAGAAATTCACCAAAGATCCTCAGACAGCACCTTCCAGACCCATGACCACTTCCATCTAAAGGGTAGCAGATACATGTGAACAATACCACCTGAAAGTTCTCCTCCAAGCCACTCACCATCCTGACTTGGAAATATATCACAGTTCCTCACTGTCACTGGGTCAAAATCCTGGAATTCCCTCCTTAATGACATTGTGGGTGATCCTATATCACATGGACTATAGTGGTTCAAGAAGGTAACTCACCATAACCTGCTCAAGGGCAATGAGAGACAGGCAATAAATGGGTAATGCCCACATCCTATCAATGAATTTTTTAAAATGAATTGCAAAAGGTGGGATTTATTCCCTGTACAGCCAATTTTACAGACAAGTCAGTGAATCAGGAGAAGGTAGCAGGAGGTTTCCTGTAAAAGCTCCTTTCTGTGTCTGAACTGGTCCTGATCTCTCTGGCTGTACTTGCTCGTGTGATTCAATGGTCATTAGATGGTCAAAGCATTGACTGATTAATGCCTCTCTTTGTTTATTAGGGTGAACCAGGACAGAAAGGAGAATGCTGTGACAAAGAATCAGAGGTGAGGCATTTCATCATTTTGATTCTTATTTGCTACTCATTCACGGGATGTTCTTTGTGGCTAGGCAGCATTTATTGCCCACCCTTAATTGCCCAAAGGGCTGTTAAGAGTTAAACACTTTGCTGTGCGTCTGGAGTCACATGAAGGCCAGACCAGGTAAGGATGGCAGATTTCTTTCCCTAAAGCATATTAATAAACCAGATGGGTTTTTACAACAATTGAATGGTTACATTGTCACCTTTTAATCCCAGATTTTTATACAATCCCAGGTCTCCAGAACATTAATCGGATGTTCTGGAGTATTAGTCCAGTGACATTATCACTACACCACTATCTCCCCCAACTAGGGAAAGGATTGGAACTCTGTTAAATTTACCCTCAGCAGTACCAGCAGAATGCACTGTGTTGCTGTGTGAGGTCTCCAAGTCAGTGTACAATAAACGGAGATGTTCATGATATCATCAATGTGTCAGGTGACCTAAGGTCTCATACCTATTGTAACCTCTTAACACAATATTATCCCAGATTCTAAGGGCAGATTCATATAGGGCTCTATGCAATGTGGAGTATGATGGGATTTATGACAAAAGTTTGCCAAAGCAAATCTCAATGCCGGGGCACCTTGCTGCAGGTTTTTCTGAGTGGCCAAGCGACTGGCACCTCCTAGTGGATAAACAATTTGTTTCAGCAAATTTAGCTAAAATACAAGAAGATAAAAATGCAAAATACATATGAAAATAATTCTAACAAGGATGTCAAAGGTAATGTACTCAGCTGAGGTGTAGACAGAGTAGGACACACACTGGTAAAAAGCTGCTAAGACAATAAGTACTGCATGCTCGTACACAAAACTAACATTACTGCTGGTGTCACAAAGGTGACAACTATCAGAAAGTTGAACCCACAGTCTATTCATACTTTCCTTCCCTCGCTATGTTTGTTTTGCACAGGGAGAAGCAGTTGAGCAGCTTCGGGAGGCTTTGAAGATAATAGCTGAACGAGTTTTAATTTTGGAACACATGATCAAAATCCACGGTGAGTAAACTGAAAGGCAAATAGTCAAAGGATCAATGTTCCAATCACACTGGATCCACTTAGATCCAGTGAAGGAGAATCAGTGATGTAGTTTGTCTACAGATTTCAATTTGTTGCTATGTATGGTGGAAAGAAAATGATTAATTCCACATTGAATTAAATTGAATTGGCCACATTCCCTAACCATTTTGCCACCCATCTTTAGCAGGTGAAACAAACCACTTTTTATTTTTATATCAAACCACTTTTTATTTAAAACAAATATCATGACTCACAACAAAGATATATCCCAGTGAGAAAATAATTTCAAGGAAAGGAATAAACCAACCACAGTTAACCAAGAAGGAAATGGATAGCAGGGACAGTAAGGACTGCAGATGCTGGAAGCTAGAGTCAATAAATATGGAGCTGGAAAAGCACAGTAGGTCAGACAGCATCCCAGGACCAGGATTTCGGCCCAAAGGGTTGACTTTCCTGCTCCTCGATGCTGTCTGAGCTGCTGTGCTTTTCCAGCTCCACATTTATTGGCTGAAGGTTAGGGCCAGTATCAGACTGAAACAGATAACATACTGTGTGGCAAAGATTAGTGGTAAACCAGAGGATTGGGAAAGGATTCACACATTAGGCAACTTTAATAAGATAAGAGCCCACGCTATTGGGATAGTTTTTAGCATGGATAGAGGATTGGCTAACAATAGAAGATGAAGTTGGGATAGGGAGGGACATTTTCAGGATAACAACTTGTAACTGGTGGAGTGGCAGAGGGGTCAGTGCTGGTGTCACAATTAATTACAATTTGTATTTATGACTTGGATGAGTAAACGGAATGTATTATTGCCAAGTTCGCAGATAACACAAAAATAGGTGGGAAGGCACGTAGTGAGGATGACGCAAAGAGTGTACAGAGGCATATAGACAGGTTAAACAAGTGAGCAGAACTTGGCAGATTGTTCAAAGACATGCAAGTTTAGGTGGATTGACCATGCTAAATTGTCTATAGTGTCCAGCGATGTGTAGGTTAGCCATGGGAAAAGTAAGGTTACAGGGAAAAGGGTAAGGGGATGGGCCTGGGTGGGATGCTCTTTGGAAGGTCAGTGTGGACTTGTTGGGCCAAATAGCCTGTTTCCACACTGTAGGGATTGTAGAGAATCTATGGATAATGTGGGAAAAAGTGAGTCTATGCACTTTGGCAGGAAGAACAGAGCAGCTGAATATTATTTAAATGGGGGAAAAAAAACTGTAGAAACATGCAGCACCAAGGGATTTGGGAGTCTCATCCATGAATCATAAAAACTAACATCCAAGCTCAGTGGGTAATAGGGAAGACAAATAGAAAGTTGATCTTTATTTCAAAGGAAATAAATTATAAAAATAGGGACGTCTTGCTAAAACTTTACAAGGCAATAGTCAGAACAGTTTTGGTTCCTTAACTAAGGAAAGATATACTGACCATGGAGGCAATCCAAAGAAGTTTCACTGATCCTGGGTTTGGGGAGATTTCCTGATGAGGAGAGGTCTTGTACTTGTACTCAGGTTTATGAGAATGAGAGGAGACTTTATTTGAAACATAAGATTCTTAGGGGCTTGAAAGGGTAGATACAGAGAGATTGATTTTCCCGTGGGAGAATATAGGACCAGAGGACATAATCTCAGAGTAAGGAGCCACCCATTTAAAATAGAGATGATGGAAAAGGTTTGCTCTCAGGTGATGGTGAATCTGGGTAATTCTTTGCTGCAGAGGACTGGGTCATTAAGTATATTCAAAGCTGAGACAGACAGATTTTTAATCAGTAAGGGAATCAAGGTTTATTGGGAAAAGACAGGAAAGTAGAGGGTTATCAGATCAATCATGATCTCATTGAATGGTGTCCTGGACTCAATGGTCTTAATAGTTTACTTCTGCTCCTTCATCTTATGGTCCCATTGTTGTATGGAAATGATTAGCCTTGTCTCAGAACTTAACTCACTGCCATTTTTCCAGATGGTTCTGCAGCACTGGAGTCTGGGTCGGGTTTTGAAACACTACCTCCAAATCTTAAGATCAAGAGGGAAGGACAGCTGCATCATACACTCTCCGCACTGCTGGCTGGCAAGGAACGCAAACACAAATAGAGGCAGCCAGCAATGGAAGGGAAGGCCTGGCAAACACAGGCTAGAGAAACCACAGCAAATGAAACTAATCAGATCATTAAAGGTGCAGCATTGGTTGGCCTAGACTGGCTTGACACCTCTCCCCCACCACATCCAGTTTGACACAACCCCTCCAATCCCAGTGACCCAGTTTGACACCCCAACCCTCCACCATCCCCCAGGGACCCACTTTGACAGATTTAAAGGAGGCAATGGCCTAGTGGCATTATCACCGAACTGTTAATCCAGAGACCCAGGTCATATTCTGGGGTCCGAGGTTTGAATCCTGCCATAGCAAATGGTGGATTTGAATTCAATTAAAAAAAAGTATGGAATTAAGAGTCCAATGATTACTGTGAATCCATTGTCAATTGTTGGAAAAACCCATTTGGTTCACTCATGTCCTTTAGGGAAGGAAACTGCCATTCTTACCTGGTCTGGCCTACATGTGACTCCAGATCCACAGCAATGTGGTTGACTCTTTTTAACTCCCCTCTGGGCAATAAGGTATGGGCAATAAATGCTGACCTAGCCAGTGACACCCTCATCTCGTGAATAAATGAAAAACATTGAATAAAAATTCCCCCACTCCACCCCCTCAGTTACCCAGTTTGACATTCTCAACCCCCTCCAAAGACCCAGTTTTTCATGGAATCATGAAAGTTAATACAGAGCAGATGCCAGAAATCTGCAACAAAAACAGGGAATGGTGTCAATTCCCAGTAGATGACCTATGGAGGGTGCAGAGAATATACATTTCATCAAACATTTCAATCTTAATCATCCCTGTGCATTAAAAAATCTGCTAACAGACTGTATTCTCTGATTTGCTACTTAGTCCTAACTTAACTCCTAACATCTTCTATCAAACAAAAGGTCTTCTAGAATCACAAACCTGTAAATAATCTGGTTTCAGGAAGAGGGTAAGAGTTGTAAGATGGCAGTAATGTTCTGTGGACAAATAATGCTGCAAGTTGGCAATCTTCAGTGCAACATCCCCTGTATTGAGGGCAAGTACCAATCATATCATTTTAACTTCCTTTAGTTTGTAATTAAACATATTTAGATGATGAGGCCGGACTGATGGTGATCAGAAAAACCCTGACCGTTATTTTTGCAATTGCCTTCACATTTCACTTAAATACCAAAGCAAAGCCTTAAATGTCTGCTGAGAGAATTCTTATCCCCTGTTTGGCTGGTGGAGGAGTTCACATAGAATCATAGAATCCCTACACTGTGGAAGGAGGCCATTTAGCCCATCAATTCCACACCGATTCTCCAAAGAGCAACCCACCCGCAACCATTCATTTCCCACAGCTAATCTACCTAGCCTGAACATCGCTGGACACTATGGGCAATTTAGCATGCCAATCCACCCAGCCTACACATCGTCAGACTGTGGGAGGAAACCCACACAGACATGGGGAGAATATGCAAACTCCACACGGACAGTCACACAAGGTGGGAATCAAACCCGGGTCCCTGGTGCTATGAGGTAGCAGTGCTAATCACCATGCCACCCAATATGTGATGCAGTTGATCAGCAGTGTAGGTGTGAGGTTTGGCTATAGCATGAGGTTAACTGGACCAAAGATTGCTTTCTAGAGATTATATAACTCTCCAGAAATCACTGACAGATCATGTATGTGATGTGAGTAATGTTTTCACAACCATTATCCTGTCGGGTGCCTGTTTAATCAACAATGGCAGTGAGCAATCTACGAGTAGTTGAAGTCAAAAAATCAGACTTAAATTCAAACCACAAAAAGATGTCACACACAACGTGTGCTTGCAACATTTTGGGCAAAGCTTCCAATTTTCCAAACCCACTAAAAGTGGATTTGTGTTTCCCCAGGTCATGATAATATCCACACCCGAATGCCTGACCTTCGAATATGACCTCTGACTCCAAATTTAACTAAACAGGAGTTGTGGCCTGCATATGCCTTAGAATCAGCAAATTCCACAAGGAATCTGAGTGTTTCAAGAGCTGCGGTTCCCTTTAGAAGGTGGTGTAGATAGAAACATTGATTTAACATGATTGGCATTGACATTTCTGTTTAATGTTGGAGGTTCTGCTGCAGAAATACACCTCATTAACTGTGCGAATGGCTACAGTGAAGTGCAGCATAAGAAGGAGCCAACTTCTGACATTCCAAGTCACAACCAACTGTCCCTGCGAATAAGGCAGGATCTAGACAGCTTACCTCGAGTGCATTTATCCCAACCTTGATTACTTTTCTCATCCTCTTTCTCTGCATTGTACAGGACAGAGACGCCCCCATGCTATGGCTGGTTTCAAAATGAGAATTGTACCAAGTATATCATCAAAAACTTCCAAACTAAAATCTATTCAAAATGGAAACTGGAAGCTGGCACATATGTGTGCTGAATGGCATCCTTCTTACTGTAACATTTCAGTGATATTTGAAAGCTTGAGGATAGCCTGATAAATACTGAATACGTATCATCCCAGAAAGTGCCCTGGTGAGAATATGTGGAGCTTGCCAATGTGATCTGAAGCAGTGTATGCAGTACATGAACACAAGTATAACTTGTCTGCTCTCAGCTGGGATCTCCAGCATCCTCATCATGGCCTGAACAAAACCTTCTATGTGGTTTACAGTCAATTAACATCTAGCCAAAGGAAGCTTCTGTGGACATGCCAAAGTTGTGTTCTGCCAGTGATGGCGTCCAGTAAATGTTACTAATTATTCTCAATCTTAGGGTAAAATTGTGCCTAATAATTCCTCATCAATGGAGAATTCGGGGTTTCTGTCTTGTCCAGAGTGGGCCAACATAAAAAGAATGCTGCACCTTTAAACCAATCTTTCTACTGAAATCAGAACAGCCAGATATTTGGAAGGATCTTTCTTGACCATTTGGAAGAATGTTGTTTTGCTGTCTCATGCAGAAAGTAATATTGTTGAAATCTTTTCTTAATGAAAACCTGTGTTATATCACAATGACTGCTTATATACAATTCATAAATATTGTAACAGCAGGGGTGTATTTTGTAAATTTAATATATATGTGACATTTTAGATGTAGGTTTTGCACTAGATTTTTGCATTTTAACTTTCTATAAAAGTAGCTCAGTTTTTACATGTAATTTAAATGCCAATAAAAGTTTTGGACCATTGGGCTGTTCTCTCATTAGAGAGAGATAACTGGTGGTGGTTTAACCTGAGGTGAGGTAAGAGATTGAAAAGGGGTAACTTTCAGCTGGTGTGGGAATTGAACCCATACTGTTGGCATCACAAACCAGCAGCCCAGCCAACTGTGCTAATCGATCCCTTTTAGATGCCAACCCAGCATGTTTGACTGATCTTGCAACTTCAATATCACCTATCTAACCATGTAGGCAAACACCGAGACCTTCTACAGGCTGTAAAGACGACACACGGAGGTAAGATTGGCTATTGTCTCATCACAAAACACTCCCATGATTTAGTTAGTGCATTGAGCGAGTTACCAGACGGAGACAAAGAACATGATCTAGTGGTGTTTCACTCTGTAATATCTCACCTGAAATTGCTTGGTGCTGACACTGTGGCTAAATGCATAAAGTTCCATTTCCCAGCAAAGTCTGTCCCATTGGCTTATCCAAAATCTAATGAAAAATAGAAGGTGACTCTGATAGATGTCCATCTACAGGACGTGTTGACTTTTACCCACTGGACGTGTAATCCCACTGCTTCTGTTGACCAGTTTCCAGTGGATATTTTTGACCTTTACCCCTGCTGTATGCGTTGCTCAACAACTGCCTTATTTGCAATGTATTTTAAACATATCAATTCATAAGAACATAAGCAGCATTCAGTATGCATGTTTGGTTTGCTGTTCATTCTTTGCAATTATGTATCATTAATTGTATTTATATACATAGTTACAGTTTTATGCTCTATATCTGGTTGGAAAATTTAGGAGAGCTTGTCAGCTATTGTGGCTTGCAAAAATACAGAACCCACATACATTGCACTGAGATTGTTTAACGTGTGACATTCAGCAATGTAACTAAAGCATATTTATTAGCTACACTTCCAATTAAAGATATTTCTAACCAGGCCACTGCTGGTGTTGAAGTTAGGTGGGTTAATGGTGTGTGTGAATTAATTGATCACTTTTACATTTGCTGTTTATGGGATTTTCTTGTAGGTCACACTGCAGTGTTGCAGGATTATATTGAAACGCTTGCTCTGCCCTGCATTGGCTCTCCCTCTCTCACAACGTGTGGCCAAAAAAATAACAGTGCTACTTCATGGATGGGAATGTGCTATATGCTTGACCACTAAATGCTCAGCTTGGGTTCTGCCAGGGCCTCTCTGCTCCTGACATCAGTCAGGGACAAAGGAGGGAATTTAAATTATGATCACTTTTCCCTTAAACCTAAGACAGCAAGGTATTGTTTGATTTACTCCTTTCCCTTTTTATTCCTGTCCCATACTCAGGTAGGCCAAAGGCTGTTCCCTAAATCCTGATTTTTGGATTCCAAATGTTAAAATAAATCTTTTAATATGAAATCAGAGATGACATTTATTAGTAAATCATTCAGAACATGGGAGTTGTTTCATCACACAATCCATGCACACAAACACTCTGTAAATTAAGGAAGACAGGACAAGAGAGGAGATAGTTCAGAAATTACAAGCTTTGGTAAATCTAGAGGTATTTAAAATTTAGTTAACATGAGTTATAACTTCCTGGAGGTCAGTGTCCAGTAATAGTTTCCCTTGTGAGCTGGGCCCAGCAGTGTTCCTGCTTTGAGAGCAACCTGTAGCCAAGAATGGAGGGTCTGATCCAGGCTCCTAACTCACCCAGCAGGCCTAATCTTCCATTGGAGGTCAAACAGCAATTGACCTAGAATCCCAGAATTGTGCATTTGAGCAATTCAGCAAACTGAATGTCAGTCATGCGACAAGGACAGGCATTTCAGGCACTGGAATGGGATTGGGAATCGGGGTGGGGGGGGGAGTCAGGCC